CGGCTTTCTGCTCTTGCAGCGGACAACATTGAACGATCTTGGGGAAACGCGAAATATCGCTGCTAGCCGAGAATGCATATACGAGTGCAGGCGCGAGCAGGACATTCATCATCGTGAATGAATATTTTATGTCGGTTACGCTAACGAGCAAACCCTGGCGTGGCGAATCGCCACAAGCATTTCGAAACGTATTTTATATTCATTTTTTCTTCTAAAAAAATTGCTTTTGATCTTTGATTAATAATATCAATATCGTTAGGTTAATTTATATTGAGATGGAATTGATAAAAAAGAGAAATCGTATAAAATATATTATAAGAGAATATTTTTTTTATAGGCAAAGGACTTTGTATCAATTATGGAAAATTGGATGAAATGAATTAATTTTTACATATATTGTAATTTATAATGTAATGAAAAGATGCCATAGATATAAAAGGCTCGATAATGGATAATGTTTGAGTTATGACAAACGAAGGTGTTTTCTGAACACAAGTTATACATTTGATATGTCACAGCTCGAAAACTATTCATTATACAATATATTGAATCTTGTGTTTATGTACATTTTTAATTTCACCGCATTATAAGCTACATCATACGAAATTTGACATTATATGAAAACTGACTCATTTCATCGGAATTCAATTTTCCACATAATTACTGTGGAGTCTTTTGAACGTTGCTTTATGCTCGTTAAATATTTGCGTTATATGTCTGTTGACGTATTTATAAATTTTTTGGTAAAACGATTCGGCAATATGATTTATATTATCTTTTATCGGACAAATACAGAATATTTCCTATAGAGAGCGCAAAGTATAATATTTATGAAAATTTCGTTAATTTTGCGTCAATTGACTTTAACGTAAAATACTGATTTTAATTATAATTATTATAATAATTATAAAATACTACAAACACATTTATTTTGCAAAGAAGAGATTTCTCTCTTTTTTATTTATAAAGAGAATTAAAATTAAAATCCAAATATTTATCTAAAAGAATTATTACAATACGGAAAAATATATACGTATATTGATATGATTTATTGAATTTGAGATTTTGTAAGAAGCTGTCAATCTCGAATTGACAGCCATTTGTCTCAACGTTATATTTTCGCAGAAATACAAATAAGACAGACATGACATTTCTAAAATTTCGGTGATCGAAATGGCACGAATGCAAATATACAGAAAAAACGATTTTACTCTCTGAAATATCTAAAAATATAGCTAGATACAGATCTGAAAATAATTTTGTTTGCACTATCAAAATAATTGTGTAGAATTCAAACTGGTTGAAATATTAAAACTCTTGCAGCATTATCAACGTTTAAGCATTTTATATAATTATTTTGATGGCTCAAAACAAAATAAATAATTTTAACGTCTATATTTAAAACGAAATTTTTAGATATTTTAACAAAATCGTTCTTCCCTCTCGTGTAATATTATACATAAAAATATGGGAAAATTGAAATGCAGGCTTTTTGTTTTCAACATGTTCGATAACTTTGAGATATCTGAAAGACCGCGCAAAAAAATTAAAATTAATTATCACTATTACAAATTTGTGAATTTTTTTATTAATGCAATTTTCACAAACTTACCGTAGTTTCGCACTTTGAAGGACAGACGCATTTGGCTTCTCCACCGTTATCGCTTTCGCACTCGCTGTAGAATTCGCACTTCTTATTCTCGCAGCCATCTGTAAACAGATTGGTGACAATTGAAAACTTATAATGGCGGCTTTACGTAAGTTTAATGCAGATTCGACTATACACATTTCTTTAGTTTCGTGACACTCGCTGGGGCTACTAATCACGCGCTACCCCTTGGCTACTTTTCCTGGCGGAAGCGGACCGGTCAGAGAACTACCTCAGGATAACATTAATAAAGATTCTCGCACGTATTTGCATAACGGCGTCCGTTTCGAATGGAATTCTCACGGCAGTGGGAGGGGTGGCTGAGAGGAGAGAAGGGTGGTCGAGACAAAAGGTGATACCGAAATGTGAGCCGGCAGAAGTCGAGGAAGGGTGGAAAGAATAGAGAGAATGATGGTATAGTGGCTTGCTAGTTTCGAAATTATTTTTAGAATTTATTGAAAATGGCGGATGTGAGGGAGGACGTTTGGAGAGAAGTAGAAGCAAGTAAAGAGAATATGAGACAGAGATTCATCCCATCATCGTTGATGTGTTGATGATATTCGCGGTTCGGGGTGACTTTCCTATGACTTTCTTAAAAACGAGCTTGAAAACGGAACACTGTGAGCGGAAAATTATCACATACTAGAGATGAGTGGGACGGAAGCGGAGGAAAGAGAAAGAGAAAGGGAATGGATGGAGGGAGGGAGGGAGGGAGGGAGGGAGAGAGAGAGGGAGGGGGAGAGAGAGAGAGAGAGAGAGAGAGAGAAAGTGAGGGAATGCATGCATATGCAGCGTGCATGCCGCGGGGTAACAACTCATATGATTTCAGTCGTGGAACAGCCAACTAACGTTGCAAAATCGCCATGTAGCGGACGATGCACGAAACCGAATTCTACAGCACGTTTCGGCCGATTTCTAATGCGAATCCGAGATTGGTAATGGAAATCGTCTCCTCTTCTTCCCGTGATTTATACGAGATCGTATATACCCTTTGAAACTTTCACCAGCTCGAATAATGCTATTCTGTTATCACTGCAAAGTTATTGTGAATAAATATTATAGAGCGTTGCAGGAAATTTCTATGTATGTTCAATCTCTAGGATATGGATAGGTATATTCAATCCTTATACGTAACATTTGAATTTTAAAAAAAGATAAAATAGATATACATATAATATAGAAAAAAACGTAATATATATTTTTATGATATCTTATAAGTATATTTTAATATATTTATAAGTTATATATATATATATATATACATATATACATAGACATAAAATAAATATGAAATATATTAAAACATATAAATATAATAAAAGATTTAAAAAATATATATATGTGTATATAAATACATATTTTCCTTTTCAGAATCCAAATATTATTAGATTAATTTCATATAATGCTGTATATATATAATGTGAAATGTTATTATTCTAAACTTACAAAATTTTATTATCATTCTTAACTACCAATTTCTAATCTCGCATTCCCTTTTATGTCTTCAAATTTCTAAGCTACCGTTCTCTCAATATTAAAAGGCAATCTTTTTCGACGCATTCACCGAAGGTACGTGTAATATAAGGAAAATTCGATAAACCTTGGCATAGGTTTCATCGCGTCGTAGATGCTCCTTTCTAGAGAAGATCACTTTCACCCACCGTCGTTCCGGTATCCCATTTCATCAGATTTTTGTGATGGAAATTACTGTTTGTGTTTAGACTAACTCTCGCGAGTATGCGATTTTATATTCTCTAAGCCTTAGAGTCCCGTCAGTCGAGGGGGTTGACGGTAGGGTTGACTGGTTTGATGGAATTGCTGTTTGAACGTATCCCCATTGGCGTGAGCTTTTGATAAATCTGCCGTTTGATAGCGGAATGTGCTTGTTCGCGTTGTATACTGACAAGTGGAACTTTTTAATAAAGATGCAAATTAGAAATGTTACGGTTTATTCCTGCGCTGGGCCACAAGACGCAAACACGAGTACATCCGAAACGTTTACATCCTAAATTGACCTCATTAATTGCCTGCATTAATCTTTGCGTATTTTATAATAGCAACATTTATTTATCTTAATTCTTATCTATGTTGTATCTTATTTATATTACTTTTTATTTATATATATATATATATACATGCATATAATGAACTGAGATAATATGTATTTATGTATTTATAAACTTTAATAATTTTCATTTACTATTCAATATTTGCATGTATCTCTGAAGTACATGCCAGTGATTTTAGAACTATGTTTTAGACATTTGCGATTACATAGAGCTATCAAGGAATGCTTGTGCGAATATGGATGATTTGCGTTGGAAATGAGCACCGAATGTCATCGTGCAACCGTTCCTTGAGATTAGCATCGAGTCGTGCATTTGTTTTGCGTTGAAAAGCGCTTCGTTGGCGAGTAGTTTCCATAAAGATGAAGGATGAAATCGGGGAAAGGAAGAAAGGCAAATGATTTTTTTTCCTCGTTTAATTACGGAGGTACTCTCATTTTTACAAGAGAGGAAAAATGACTGTTAACAGAATATTCTCGAGAGCATATAATACCATATAAATATTTAACAGTATAATATTTAATGTTTAACTATCGCGGACTGATTATAATAATTTAATTGTAATTGTGTGTTAATTCTTGATCCACAAAGTAGAAAAAAAATTATTTTACATATCCCTCATTTAAAAAAAAAATGGCAATTAAAAAAATTAAACTGTCAGTTAGGTTATTGAATTATATAAATAATCAAATAATATCAGCAAAAAGAATTATTCTCTTAGCAAATGTTATTTTTGTTATTATCATTTCACAACTCTTAAAACATCACTTTTTTTGAGCTGTGATATTTTAACAAATTTATAAAGTTAAGTTAGTTCACTTTTGATGATTAATATTTGTCTAAACTCATTCATAGCAATAACTCGAAAATCAAGTTTTTGCGTTGTATTACTTTCGAAATACGGGAACGATATTTTATAAGTTTGCACTTTAATATGAAACTTTTTCTTCAGAATCGCACACGTAAACTACAGTAAGTTGAAGCGCTTTAACTTCCTGCCTATAAGAACTGATGAAAAACGCGATAAAACCTAATATTTAGGTTTTATCACGAGAAAGTTACAATCATGTCATTGCTGTAATCAAAATTGCACGTTTTATGACAAAATTTGAATGAATACGCAGATCGTAAAGCGATTGAAGCACAATATTTATCAAATGCTATACGAAAAGAGGCACAGAACGGAAAATCGCTCAGGAATTCGCGTCCTTTTGAGACCGCGGTCCTAATAATAGCTTCTGAAATATCGAAGGCGGTAGACAGGAGGAGGGAGAGAGTGGGAGAAGGGTAGATTAATAAGAATGAAATTGCAGGGTAGGAGCCAACGTCGTAAAGTACACGGTCGATGAAATCTCGCTCACCCCTTTCTCCCGTTTTCCCGCCCTCCCAGGATCGGCGGAGGGCACGGCGTCGTTATTAAAGGCATCGTAGAAAATAATAAAATGAAGATTAATAGCGCGAGCTCGCGTGCAGCCGCGATGATGCATCGTCGAGTGCAGTATGCATGAAGTTGTTTACGATATCGCCCGGAATTCCTATTGCGAAGGAGGAAACGGGAAGAAAAGAAATGCTCCGCTGCATGAGTAGTATCGCTGAAAATATCTGACATGAAGCACAGCTTTATCAAAAGCGGCACTATCATATCATACGTATTCTCGGAAGAAACCCTAATAAAACGTATGACATTTCAATGCGTTGAAAATTAATTAGATCGATCGTATTTAGGGATAGCAAAATTAGAGGGATACCCTTTGATACAGTTTGGAATCATAATTCATTCCTTTTCTGAAATCAGTGCCGATTTTTACGGTCGTTTTATCGCGTCGTATCGAACATGAGGAAGCAAATGTGCAGGTGGACGGTCGATCGATGTTTAATTCTGAGGGAACACGCAAGGCCATCGACGTTAATCAAGTTTCATGCCGCCGTGCTACTTAAGATCGTTCAGAAATCCGTTATAAATTCAATTTACCCGGGCCGGATATTCAAATTAGTCGTAGCAAGTTTTAAGTTACCGCTGCTGCCGGGGGTGGTTACGCGACCGTATATTAACCCCTGCTGTCCGACCACTCCGGCATATTAAAATCGCAGATTTGTTCTCTTAACGCCCCACCGCGAGTTGGAAATTATTTTTCGCATTTGATATTAGTGTCGATAAGAGCGCTTAACGTGGAACAATCCGCCAGATTGAGAATTCAGAATTTTATGTGATTAATTCGAGCACCTTTCGAAGGATTTTGCCTATTTAAGAGATTAACTTGCTGACAATATATTTTCTCCGTGATAAAAGAACGGACGATTGAATGGACACAAAATTATTAAGCAAAACAAAGGAAGCTATTAGGAAATGAAAATTGGGATTTGCATATACTTAAATTAAACGAGAAAAATTTGCTAGAAAGTTAACATTAACCAGCTGAGCTTCTTTAGTTTAAGAAATATTGCAATTTAATACTTTCAGTCGCTTTTGTCTTTATATATTATTAGATTGTCTCGTTATATTAGATTAAAAGATGCCGGAAACTCTTTCTTTTAAAACGGAGAAGCCGTTTCCATATCTATTTGAAAAATTATTATTCACGTTCTCCTCGAATATTTAACATTGATTATAAAACTTAAAACGTATCTTTTATTTTCTGTGTGTATTATTATATGGACTATATTGTGAATAATGACAGCGCTTGGTTCTCATTTGCCTTATTGTTTTATTCATTTAATCTTCAAACGTCTTTTTGATACATATGACATATCTGGCTTTTTTACAATGCTTTTTTCATTACTTTTATAATTTTATTATTAATAAAGGTGCATATATTTGCTTGGTACCATCATGTTCCGTATAATATTTGATATATTTATTTTTATAAGCAATCGAATTGGATATGGTATGTTATATCCAAATATGTTGTTATTTTTGTAGTGTGGCATTTAGGGACTAACTTATCGAGAGTCCTTCAATTATCTATTTATTATATTATTTTGGAATTAGATATTTAATCAGTCGTAATTACAACTGCATATTTACAGGCATGACGTATGCCCTTGTTTAAATTTATTTTGGATAGATACTCACTGCACAATCCTTGATACAAAACGCGTATCTCCCGTCGATGCTGACATGCCTCCAAGCGAAGTTTGCACTCGTTGCTGTAGCTGATGCCATCATCGCCGCATACGGGTTGAAATTCTGCCGGACAAGTCGGACATTCGCACACAGCATTGCCGGCGATCTCCGCGCAAATTGCGCCCCATTGACACATCTGCGAACCGAATAGTCATATATATGGGATTGTGTATGTGATGTACCGTTATACATCAAGAAAAGCTATTACTGTAGTTCGTCTTGTTTCCTTCTTTTTAGCATCACAATTTTTTAAGATGCTAAAGTGTCGGTGATAAATTGATACATGAATGCTATAATGTTAGTAATAACACAATTATATTATATATAAAGCTACAATATAATTATTATTACTATCATAAATAATTTATATGAAAAGAATAGTTTTGTTGAAGTGTCTAAAAATTTAGCTTGATACAGATTTGAAAATAATTTTATTGGACTATCAAAATAATTATATAAGACTTATATAAATTGGTTGGAAAGATTTTTTACAATATATTATTTATCATGCTTAAATTTTGTACGTAATTAGTTTGATGGTCCAATAAAATTATTTTTAGATTTGTATCTATCTAAATTTTTAGATACTTAACTATGCCATCGTTCTATGTATTGTACATCTTACAATTAGATAATTTGTTGTCTTTTTTTTTTATAATTTAATATAATATCATAATATATCTTAAATTGTCTGAAATTAAGGCAAACGCAAATACAGTGGAAATGTAAACAAAGAGTAAATTAGATAATGGAAAGTTTGCAGACTGTATCAAGAATATCATAGCCCATAAAGTCGTTCATGAGAAATACATGGGATGAGAAACTCAATACAGGAATGTCTTCCTGAAATTCATCGAGCTCGATCTCTCCTCATTCCTTTTCGTGCTAGTATCTACTAGCTTTCCCACGGAGATATCCGGCACAGCGTCATCCAATTAGTGACAATTGCTTTTGGCGAAGGAGCTCGTCGAAATGGTGAAGATCTCACCTCGGCTTTCGAATTTCGCAGGGAATCGAGAAAGTATCGAGAAGGAGAAATAGTAAAAGAGAGGAAATTCCCTCCACACTCCATCGGGCTCTTGATCCTTTCCAATTTCTGCGGCGAATACATCCAGCAATTTCCATTTCGCGAGCGAGTTCGGTATCGATTACGAACCTTGTTTTGTGGATCAATGACATTTGTAGCTTAAATCTAGTTAAATTGTGTCGCTTTAAATAACAACACGTCATTTTTTATAAAATTGAAAATAATCCATGTCAACATCATCGACATGATTTATCTCTGATAATTTAAACTTTGAATTATTAAAAATTATTAGAGTTTTTTTCACAGAATTTATTTTAGATTTTTCTGTGCCCAATATTTCATTGAAACAAGCATATATCAAGAATATTTTATACCAATATTTTCTGTTGTAAATTTTATACATCAATTACATTGATTGTGCTTTACACGACGTATTCATTTAATCAATCTCTCGAATTTAACGAAATAGTTTTCAATGAAACATCCACAAACTGGATTGCAGCTCATCGAAACGTTTTTCCTAAAGAAAGCTATTATAGCTGAGCGAAATTATTATATATACATATGTATATTATGCTCAAACGAACATGCATTAAACGTGTTTTTTTCTTAAAATCGGAAGTAAATTTAGATTGAGTCCACACAGTTTTTATTGCAGAAAGGTATTCAAACAAACAATTTACGTTTAAAAAACATTCAATCGAAACGGTTTATGCTGTAATAAAAACGTTAAATAGACCTACGTTTATTAAACCTTCATAAAATCGTGAAATGTATAAAAATATTATTTATTTTATTTTAAATAAATAATATTTTTAACTAGTATTTTAAACAATACATTTAAAAATTAATTAATATACGTTGCAGACATCTTATGTATATTTTTGTAACATTTGCTAAATAATTTAAAAATCGTATCATATTTTAAACATTTATTTTAAACATTTATTTCGTATTATATTTTAAACATTTAATTTATACATTTATTATATGATGCTAACGTTCGTATTTTGAAAGTAATTGTGTTGCTTCGGATGTACAAAAGAAAATATAAGATATGCTGCACAAAAAACTAAAAGTGTATTAATGCGAAAAAAGACGCTGCTAATACAAAAAAAGACACATGATCTACTTAAAGTAACTAATAATATGCAACAAGCAATACAAAATTAAATGAGTGATATAAATTGCAAAAAAAGTGAAGAATCATAACATATTCAACAAGAGCAATAATTTACATCGTCGAAATTCCGAGGATCTGACAAGAAATCTTGCTCGCGTCGCGCCGAGCGCGGAAACAGAAGCGGAAACCGCGAGTGTTCCTCGTGTTTCCGTACGTGAGATACTAGCTGAGACTGACCTTCTCGGAGCAGGGTCCTCTGGAGCCGCATGTGCCGACGTAGGCGACCTCGATGTTGTTCCTCGTCAGACACGCCTGCCTCTTCAGCTCGCACATGGACGTGTAGGTTGTTCCGCCGCGGGCGCACACGGGCCTCATTATCGGTTCGCAGTCGGGACGACACTCGCAATTAGCGATCCCCTGCCGATTGATCGTGCACTGCTCATAGAAGTTGCATTTTGCTGCTTCGCAGGGATTTTGACCTGCGAAATCGAACGATCGTACGACTTGTGTCACGATTATTTTTACTTTCATAGAATATTTCAGAAATCGTATTTTTGGTGTATGATAGTCTCAAAATATTAGATTTTCAAAATATGGATAGTTACATAAACAAGGATTTACAAATCAAATTAATACAATAATTCAATGAAAGACTATTGATTTGTTTCCACGATTACAATATTTGTAATTTTTATAAAATCATGCTGAGAAAAAAAATGGTCGCAATTACTATAATTTATTTATGGTCGATCGGGTCAATTATATATTTTTAACTATAATTTATAATCATTTTTGGTGCTAATTATATATTTTTTGTAGAACTAGAAATATAATAATTATTATTAGTGTTGTAAAAGTAATAATTATAAAAATGGAACTCTTAGCGATAATTGTTTTACTATGTAATTAACAACCACTTTTCTCTCAATATTATGAAATGCAATCAAATGAGCTATGGAAAATTAATTTTTTTTCAAAAAATTGAGGGGCCAACTTCACATTAGTAAGTTTCCCTATCGAAAGTAAAATAAAATATAACACAATTATAAAACTTTTTTATTTCATTAATTTGATTTTTAAATTACTTTTCGACGTAGTTACAATTGTGTCATATTATAAACCGAATTACTGTACGTAATTCACAGTTGGACACGTTTTGTATTGGCATTTTCCTTCAAATTTGCTCACTTAACAATGGTTGCAGTGAAGGCATTCTGAGTGCAAAAAATATTATCAATATACTCCAAAAAAAAATCTTACAATGCACAAGCTATTTGCATAACCGGTTTTTTTTTATATAATGGGGATATGCCCCTCGAATAATTATTAATCATTACTCAAAATTATTCATTACTGTACAACAATTAATCGCATGCAGGAAAGCAATTTATACAATTTTCTGAAAATTTTATTGCCGTTATATTTCACATGCCGAGTAAAAAATGTTAATGATTTTTATTACCGGAACTGCATGCACCGTTGTAAATTTTCTTGAGCGGTAATCTCGAGCGACAGGCTTCCTGTCGAAGGTTGCATTCGTTCGAATATGTTTTGCCGTCACTTCCGCAAACCGGCGAAAGTTCCAGGCCACATTGTTCCCCGCAGCGACAGACTGGTTGCCTCAAACTATCCAGTTGACAGACTTCTGGTTTTGAGCACTCGATGCCTCCGCATGGATCTGGAAAATTAATTCGCAATTAGCAGTTTCGACACACAATAAAATAAATTATCGGGAAAAGCACGAATTCAATCATATGTGCGATGGATGATACGTGCATTATACTGATTAATTATGCTGAATAAATGGAGTTCTCTCCAGCTTCCTGAAAAGCATTACAAAAACATTTAATTTTCCTTAAAGAGGAAAATTATTCTTCCTTAGCTCTGCTTTATTTATTCCTGGCAAAAAGGATTCTTAATTATCTCTCAATTATAGGATTCACTTCGTGAGTAATTATAAGAATTGATCAAATGATCCGCGCGTTAAAAGTTTCATTTGCATTCTATTGGCTCTTCTATCTCATTTTGGGAATTACTACTAATCCTGGCGAAATCGAATGAATTTAAATAACCTTCTTGTGATTCTTTTTATGAGTTTCATTTGCATACGAGAATCGAGAGAACCTACATAACGTTAGGCGGATAATGATGGAAGGTCACAAGGACCGTATGGTCCAGTTGGAGGAGACACGGTACCGAGATTAATCTTCGCCCTCGACCAAGGAAGGAAGGAAGTTAGATTCCGTTTCCTGTCTACAGGCGGTAGCTAGGTTTCGGCCTTATATACCAGCAGCTGACGAGGCAAGTTCTCCTCCGGCAGTGGTGGTGTTTCTCGGCGTTAGCTCGAGTTACAGTCCAGTGGAGCGACTAAACTCAACCCTTCCGTAACTCAAACCCGGGTGTTCTCCTTCGTCGGTGCTTCAGTTAGTTTGAATTTAGCACTAATCGATCTTGGAAAAAGTATCGTTGCACCATCAATTGCGAGATGACCAGTATTGTCATTTTATCATTTCACTATTATATTCGATATTCGAATATATTCTTAGTAATTAAGGCAGACTCCCAAATACTTTTATTTATCATTCATCCATATAGTTCCATCTCATTCAGATCTCAAAATGATTAACGATTAATGGACGACGAGAATACACCTCGCCACCCTTTCCATCGCTTCGTAATTCCATCTCCCTGCGATGGGGAGAGATCCTTATATCGCTTCTATCACTTGCATCGGACGAGATAGAACGGTGTCATCGCGCCCTTTCAAGATCTCAGTGCCTTAATGGGATTTCTCATCGTGCTTCTTTCCCGTTCGTCCGTCTGCAGCCTTCATCGAAACACCGGCCACGATCTGATCCCTCGGGAGGGAGCAAGAGTATGAGAATGGTTACGCCGGCGCGTTAACTTCACGCGACATTACCCTGATGCGGATTTCTTTGTATTATCTGGGCTGGGGCTACGACGTGAAAGCTGTCGGAAGACCTTTTCAGTATGGACGACGGACTTGCTGTTCGACGGTTGGAATCTCCCGTGGAACGTGTGCAAAGGCGGGCGACACGATGCGGTATATCGCGACGCGAGTGACTGATGAGCACATTCCTTGTATTATTGGCGAATTGTTATTTAATTTAGCGAAGGAAAGAGACGTGACAGGAGTATCAATTTATTATTTACGGACAATAATAATTTTGGAAATATTGCTCTGAGAGAAAAAATCATTATAATTACTATAATTTAACTATGGAAAAAATAATTTTTTTTTGCTAAAAAAATCTAGAAATTTAACTAGATACAGATCTGGAAATAACTTTGTTGTTGAACTATTAAAACTGTTATGTAGGACGCTCAAGCATAATGAACAATGCTGCAAAAAGTTTTAACATTCTAGAAACTGTTGGAGTGTCCATAAATTATTTTCATAGTCCGACAAAATTATTTTCAGACCTGTATTTAGCTAAATTTTTAGATACTTTAACAAAACCGTTCTTTTCGTATGTATAAATATTATCATTATTACTAATATTACGGTTATAAAAAATGTTTCTAATCCTAATTATTTTACTATGCAATTATAGTCACAAATACTGAACACTTTTTTCAAAGTGTATATAATCGCGAAACATGCTGTTGTGTAGCAAATTATTTAAAGAACATTTTATTGTAATAAGAAAACACACAAGCTTCTCAAATGATTCTCGATTTACCAATTCTGATGAATTGAGGATTATTTCTTGAGGTGATTTTCGGATAGGAGAGAATTGAGGACCATTCCTTGAAGCGATTATCAAATAGGAGAGACGCCCGCGAGGCAACCGATTTATGTACACATAAGAGTGCATTCTAGTTACTTCCGCTAAAGCAACTGCAAATATCGATCCTTTTTAGACGCCTTCCTTTCATGTGCAGATACCGTGCGCATATCTTTCCCATATTCTACAAGTACTGCAAGCGGGAATATCTCAAAATCACTCAGCGTTCGGTAAAAGCCTTGTAAATTGCCCGTCGCCGTCATCCACGGACAGAGCAAGTCAGCATCATCCATTTCGTCTGTAACTTTACGATTTTGCCAGTTTGCAAGTCTGCTTCCCTTTGGAAATGATGTCGCGAATTGCGATAAGATTTCAAGAGAGAGAAAGACCGTATATATTCTTTTCCTCCGAATCTTTATATATTAAATAAATAAAAAAAAGAGAAAAAAATTCAACAGAATAAAGCGCATGGTAAACGGCACATAAGCCATAATATACAAGGTATAAACCCTCCTGGAGCTAAAATCCCGTCAAGGCTTCTCGTCGGCTTCTCTCTCGAGGTTTTTCTTCACGCTCGTCTCGACCGCGTCGCGGAAAACATCCGGAAGCCTTTTCTTTCGCCCGTGACTCCGGAAACTATGGAAAGTTATACGAGACACGGTTTGACATTACGCGGGCGTAAGTATAAGGGTATCATGTCTGGGGAGCAATAACTGGGTTTATGTTAACGGCACCTCCGCGGTGCTTCCGGCTTGATGTACGTTCCGACTTCCGCGCAGCTGTCTCTGTTCGACCTATCCACGTTCTCGTCTCCGCGTAAGCCTTTTCTGTGAATGTTTTCTCTCTCTCTCTCTTTCTGCGCCACTTAAGCCCCGAACGCGTAAACATGAACGCGTAAGAGCGCAAGATACAATTTACGGGGTTGCGGACGACGTAAAATTTCGGTTGAATTCAAGTGGCGGTGCAAGTCGGACAAATTGCCACCTGCTCGTGTAAAGATAAGTTTTTTACGAGTACGTCAAAAGACAGCCAGAAAGTGGCGGCTGTCTCGGTACTTGTTTCATGATGTTGCAGTTGATGGTCGACGATAACCGCCGTTGAAGCGCAAAAGCGCTTAATCTTTGAAATTCAAAGCATTGCGATCTGCAATGAATATTGAATCTTATACTCTTTAAAAAAATATGAATATGGATTTAACACCGACACATATTTCTAGCAACAAATTAGGGAAATTGTATATACTACTAACTTGTATAAAAAATTTGGATTTAACACCGTACAATGTTTACACTGAAAAAGAAGATTGGCTGCTGTAGCTAATTAGATGATAAAATATGGCATAGCATTTTTAATTAGTTGCAGCAGTCAATTTTTGATTGCCTATCGGAATATATTGACATTGCAGATAATCTAACGCCAAAAATTTGCTGCAGCAGCTGATCTTTTTTTTCAGTGTATATAATTTTCGCCATGTTGGTGTTGATATAAACTTAATATAAACATTAATCTATGGCGTGGATTTAATATCATAGGTTTTAAATCCATATCATAATAGATTAATATAAATACTATGTATTTTAAATTTACATCATGATGATGTTGATATGAATAACAGGGATTTTTAATCCACATTAATATTAACATAGTGAAAATTATATAACGCATGTGGTATTAAATCCACACCTATATTTTTAGAGTGTATGCAATTTTCACATTTTATTAACTATGAATATGTACCGGTTTTTAATTAAGACAATTTTTACAAAAATCGTGTCTTCATCTCTTCTAATTTAAACTCTCCCGCATTAGAAATTATAGTCCCTCGCAATTTCTTTCAGAATCGTGTTCGCTCTCGCAATTTTCATTCGTTTCTAGCGACTCCGTTAGATCGTTAGTGATAATATGACAACATGATTAATACCTAATTCACAGCGATGATATTTCCGAGCCGACAAGCATGGTAACCAGAGCTCGTTAGCGGCTCTCTGACTGATGAGCGCAATACTCATATCCTCTCTCATCATCTGTAATCGAACTCACGCGAATCCTGTTGAGTAGCAGCTTGTTTGTCACCGCCGGTTTTTAACGACGGTAACGTTCGTTCTTGCTGCTTCTATCCAACTGCGGCGCAATCTCGCTATCGACATTTACGCGATCATCGATAACCGATTGCACCCGTTACTTACGTCTCCTGTTCGTTTCTTGTCAACTTGTGCTCAATCCTCCGGCGGTCGCACCCTTTTTTTTTTCGCCGGCGCCAATCTCGAGCCTCAACGTATAGATGCCTTTCCTCGTCTAAGAATCGGTTTCTCGAACCTGACATCACCGAAATTTCCGACTCGTTGAGCCCCGTTTGCAAGAGGTCTCGTAGATAAACACATTTGCTTGTTGGTTTGTCTCGGGTTCACGCCACGCGTCCCTTTCGGCGTCCCTTTCGGCGTCTTTTCGTCCTCGTACGAGAGCGAGCGCATCTCGGCACGTCTCAGCCTCGGCTTGGCGAGTGTGAGAATTTAGTTGAATCCATTTCTGAGGTGCCACGCCTCGAGAATCCGACGTTCCCTCATGGCAGGCTCTACCTTTTCCCGGTCGACCCTTATTTCGGCACGTTCGAGCGTGAAGAAAATAGCGTGCTTCTTTCTTTTTCTCGAGACTGGATATGCGTGACGGGAGCGACTTGCGGGCGGTGTCTCACGAAAGCAAAAGAGAAGAGCATAGAGAGCTGGATAGAGATGATAGAGGCGCTCCTTTCTTTACGATGGAAGGAAACTCGCTCGGAAAACGGACCAAGGCACAAGCGAGTTGGGAAAATATTTCCAGGAGAAAGCGAAATAAATATTTAATCAATACGTTGCCATTTTACCGACGGAAGTATGATATACGAGACGGTACTGAAACATTCATATTGTGAGTACGTTCGACGGTAATAAAAAACGAATAATCCAAATAAACTAGAAGAAAGCAGCAGAAGTAATACAATTGTAGATTTCGTTTATGTAAAGAGAATTTTTGATTTATTCGCAGCTGCTGATCTGACAGATCTGCGATTTTCTCCTTCAGAGTTGATATATTAGTATTTTACTTTCTTTCATTTTTATTTTTTTTTTTAAGTTGGAATTTCTTTCGAAGAAATGCTTCAACACCATATACTATTCCTCTTCATGTTATATTTACGATGCTAATAAAAGTGGCTTACGCAAGGAATCGATAATTACGTTGGGCTCGACATTCGCTGCTCCTGCAGCGGAGGTTTTCACCCTCTTGCACGGAGTTTCAGACGCGGAGGTTCAATCTCGCTTACTCTTTTTCCACGTTTCACCATCCAATCACGACCGCGAAATAGTAGCTGCACCGGCGAACGAGAAGGAGAACCGAAAAGTCTCGAAACTTTTGGGAGTTAATTTGATTTATCGTACCATCGTACCGTCACTTCAGATTCATGCCTGGAGCAACCAACTCTTCGTCTATGTGATGAGATGAATGAGAAGGGGGGAGAGAGGGAGTGAGGGAGGGGGAGAGAGAGAGAATCACAAAATTCACGAATGCTGGATTTTGTGAGGTTGCACTTTGAGGAGAATTTATTGATTCCGGCGTTTAAAAGGGGGGAGGGGGGAAGGGTCGCAACTGGTGCCGATTGATAAAAGGGCAACTCCATTGTTGTACTATAGGCTTTCCGCCCAACGGGAGAACCGACTGAGGAAACTCTGAGTCTTCTCTCTCCTCCTCCTTTCTTCGCCTTTTTGCCTTCCACCTCGTCATTCGCTTTAGACCATTCCTGGCCGGATATTGCGTTTCATTGTTTCTGGTATAATACGACGGCAGAAACAGTGGAACGAAAGGAGAAGACGTTCATCTTTGTAAACTTCCGGCGCGCAACTCGTTCCTTTTCGATTCCTTCATCGCCCACGTCTCTATTACACTTCTTTTTATCGTGTATGTCGCGGGCTGTTATTAAGCTCTATGATTGCATCGTACGATGAGCGTCCTGAATTTACCCCACATACATATATACGGCTACAAAGATTATTATTTTTCAAGTATCGCTCTTTATACGCTCGTAGGATTTATGACGCTCTACTGCGTGTGATTATAACATGAGATATTTACACTTTAACTATACTGTAATGCTTTCGTCATAAAAGTTCGCGTGCATTTTCCCGTGCAGTCCCTTCAAAGATCATCCATAATTTTTACGCATTAAAATTGCAGTTTATACAGTGTAAGGTTGAACCTTAAGTACACTTATTTCCGTCATGTAAATCTTAAAAAATTACCTTTTAGAAAAGGGTAAAATAGAGTATAAAACTAATTCATGTGAAAAAAACTATTTTACAATTATTGTGACTTTTAATAAAAAATTTTAAATACTTTAAAAATATTATAACACTACAAGTATTATGCTGCACAAAAATAGATTTGAAAACATTAAAAAACAGAAAATAATTATATTAGCTATTTTCATAATCTGGATATAGGTATTTTTGATCTCCTAAACAAAGTTAAATCGTTTAGATCAATTATGTACTGCAGACATATTTAGAAAAATAAATTTATGCGATTTTGATGAAAATTCAGCTTTTGCTGAAAATCTAAAAATTTTTTTTGATGCAAATTAGAAAATAATTTTGTTGGACTATCAAAATAATATTTTAGAACTCAAATCCATTGCCAAAATATTAACATTTTTTTTCTGAATTATCATTATGCCTGAACGTTCTAATTATTTTAATAGTCCAATCAAATTATTTGTAAATTTATATCTAGCTTTTTTTTAAATTTTTAGATATTTCAACAAAAGTTGAAAGTTCTTTTCGTATAATTTTTTTAGATTCGCTGTGGAATCGTTTTTGTCCTTAAAACGGAGTTCATTACAACTAGCATCAGCTTTGCTCTGAATTTCTCTATTATTATCAAATCATCCTAAAGTCACTATTTGTATAGTCCTTTACGTTTATACGTTCCTAACGATTATTCCTAAAGAGGGCAGGCAGATTGGAACCGTTCAACGACATATTTAACTAGCTCGTTAACTGGCGACTGCGATTATCGTAACTGTTACTGTCTACCGCGTCGAGTTACGCAGTAGAAGAAGACCCAGTGTGAAAGAGAAACGAAGGGAAAATGGTAAGGATGGACTTACCTAATCCTAAGCAAACACGGCCTACTCCCGGTAGCTACCTGTCTGATCAAACATTTGTCTTTACTACTCGGTTGATTAAACGCCTGCCAAGTTTGTACTGCTTCCATGTAGGGAGAAGGGAAGATTAGATGGGGGGGAACTCTCATTTGTGGGCGTGTGTACGACTATCTGTGGACACGAACGGTGACAGCTGTGTGGAATATAGCGCATTAAAGTGCGGATATATGTGTAGAATGTCTTAGACTACATATAGCTTGTTCAAGAGAAACGGTAATAATTTTATCGTTACTTATCAATATTTAAAAACCTAACATTGACATCATGATAGAATAAATTCAAGTAAATGTAACTTAATCCTTCGTTGACACACTTCTTTTTTCGGTTCGCTTTTTGACATACTGGATGACTCATACCTAGAGCAATGTTTAAACAATTGACATTCTTATTTAAAAAATCCAATCAATATGAAAAAAATGATGGGTCAATTTTAAGGTCTGTAGAATACATTCAAATAGGTTTTCATTGAAATTTCATTACAGTTTTTGTGAAAAAAATTCTTGAGTTCAATGAATAGAAAAAAAATTAATAAAATCTTTGAAAAATTGTAACTTTTAAAAAATTCAATATTAAAAGTTAAAAATTTATAGAATTGTTATTCAGATATGATACTTTGAAAAAATTAGTTTATAAGTTGATTTTAAAGGGTATTTATTTTGTATATGAAATGTGGGCTATTTTGGGAATTGAAAAAACAGAGATTTCTTTATAAATATTGTATTTTTGTTCTACAAAATAAAAGAAAATTGAGTTTCAGAAAGTTAAAATAATTTTGTTGACATCCAATATGTCAACGAAAGGTTAATATAGTATGTTTTATTTTTTTATTAATTCCATGAGGAAACTTTATCTGATGACATGACACAATGTATTAAATATTAAAAAAGATAAAGCTAACTTTCTCTTTTCAATTTTCATTTAATATAACTTACTATAATTATTAAAAAAGATCAAGTCCAGTTTTGATAAATAATTCTATAAGAGAGCAGAGAATTTTTAAAACATTCTGTATAGAAGATCCTAATCTCCATCGAGTGTGCTGCAGATAGATAAAATGATGTAGATGTAGATAAAGAGAGTTAAAAAACGCTTAGGTTGATCAGAAGGATGTCTCTTTGCTGCTGATAAATCGCTTTAGCAGAAATATAATACAAATAATTGTAACGAAATATTTTCTACAGAAAAATATAAATAACGGCGCTTTAAGCAGATGTGTTTAAACCAGCGAATTGTTTGGAATGTTGGTAACTTGTTGGCAACAAATAATAAAATACGAGTGAATGCGAAATAACGATTTAAAGAGTGGTACAATATGGGAACAACAGCGCGTAACTTTTTATACGCATTCAAAAAGTCGATTTTATCACAAAATAAAATAAAACATTGATATTTAATTCATATTATATATGTAAGCTAATTTATTATAAAAATAAATTTTGTGTTATATCAGAGATAAGAATCATATTTCACGAATATTTGAGATATTCTTAAATTTTAATGGAAATATATTAATTTTAATTTTGTTTTATTTACTTTACGGAAATATATTATATCTTTTAATTTATTTTAGTGCAGTAATGATTAATCATTAGTTTTAATCAATTCAAGCGAGAACAAAACACGCTATAATACTATATACTTAACTTATTAATTTATTTTAATTTATGTACCACATATATTTAATGCCAATTTGTCTGTCTAAGTTATACATTATAATTTCTGAAGCTATAATCAAACTTTATATTTCATAAATTTATCTTTGAAAATAAGATATCCCATGTAATCTATTTTTGTTCAAATTGTTTAAATTATATAGTGTGATAACAGGATTTATATTACAAATGCATTTTTTGTGCCATCATGTTATTTCTCTATATCTTCTAATCCGATTACTCGAGACATTCATCTCGTACATTTGCTATAGAAGCACTTACCGCATTTGCCACGAAATGCCACGGTAATGTTAGCACCTTTCTCACAAGCGGCTCGATTTAGGTCGCACAGCGTCGGATAGTCGATCCCATCCGTGCCGCAGACAGGTCCCGATCCCTCGTGATCCCCCAAATTTGGGCAGGATTCCAAGCATTGGCAGGTCGCCTCCTTGCCGTCCCTGCTTCGCACACATTGCGAACCTTGCGAGCAATTCAGCTTCTCGCAGGGATCCTTGATTTCTGCAAAAGAAAGCACCGAAGCATTTGGCATTAATTAACGTGATAATTACATTAAATCAAGGCAATTATTTTCTGCTAATTCTTTTTAAACGTATTAAATTAATCTAATCAATAATTAATAATTCATTAGTTTCAAAATATGCGCATTATGAAATATATATACAATATATATATTTATTCATATAATCGATATTATGTTTTAGATTATTTTAAAATAATTTATAACATGATATATAATTTCTCTTAAAAATTGATATTATTTATAATGTTTTTTTCAATTTCTTATAAATAAACAAATGAATGTGCATTAAATAATCGATTAGACAATAACTGTGTCAATTATTACACATTCATTGAAGTGAAAATGGATCGGACGCAAGACCTGCATTGTGCAAGACATATATCTCTTTTGGTCCACTTGATAATGCATGTGTACCGGAAACGAATTGGCACGATAATCCGTTGACGAGAGCAGTTCGATGTTACGGTCAATCCCATTGACGGAAGCTATTGAACAGCTTCGATTTCGAAGTAACGAGATGAAGGCCAGCGATGGGTAGGATGAGTAGGATCAACGGCATTACATCGAGCGACGTATGTTTGTGATCGAGAACGATACGGCGATATGTAGAATTTAATGTTCTCGTATTTGCAGATTGGAATTGGCGCATCCAGTTTACGACAGAAATGCCAAGCGGCATGTAATCCTTCGACCTGTGTTTCCCGCCGGAATGCCGTGGAGTTGCGAACATTCGCATCATGTCTATCCGCAAACTGTATCTGTACGTCTTCGACATTTAATTTAGTTTAAAACATACCAGAACAGCTTGTAAATATTTCAATCCTTGAATTCTGTCTCAAAGTATTTACTTATTTATACATTCTCTGAAAACTTAGTACGTTCTAAAGTCCCGCTTTAAACGATCTATATAATTCATGTCAGATTTCAGAATAGAATTCTATCTATGATTTTATTGTCCAAGTGTATATTATACATTTTTTAATATATGAATTTTATACATTTGTATATTTTCTGATATTTTCTTAAAATGTTTCCTTCAAATACTTTTTTTATCATACGTCATAAAATTACAAAATTATACAAGTTCTATCCTGAATTTTGACATGAATTATATAAATTGCTTAAAAAAGGTTTTATACTATTTATTTTTTCTTTTTCAATCTATATAATAATAAGTCTGTGCGCATATTTGCACTCAGAATATATTTATCTCGTTTTAGGCACAATCATTTTTGGGGATTTCAAATAACACGAACAAATCTCGATGTAATTCTCTCCAGTTCTCTGAAAAATGTATAACATATCGTATTCTGTGTCACTTGTTCTATACTTTACACCTGATCCCCAATTATTTTTAATCGTTTATTTACAACTCGTCTTTATGATAATACGGTGTTGTTGAGCTTTTTCTATTCAAATGATATAAAACACGACGATTCATTTTCTATCGGCAATACATGTACACACGTAGTACGGAAATACAGTGAAAAATCCACCGTATTTCCGCGGAGCTTAATCAATGATATTTTTTCCGTAACATGAGCCCGCACCACCGCCGCCCGAAATGTAATTGCAGGCCGTAAACACGCCAGACGCGCGTGTACATACTGTACGTTACGGCCCGTGAAATTAAATCCGCGCGATTCGCAATGAATAAACTATCGCCCACTGGGATTCATTCGCGACGAAATTTACGCGCCGCCGCATTTTTAGCGATGCGGCGGCAGGAAAAAGGAAACAGAGACGCGTGTCCTGCCTGAGGCTCGATGTGCCAGATCATTAATCCCTAAGGGTCGACTTGAAAGAGTATGTATGTGTGCATGCGTGTGTGTGCATGTGTAGAGTGTGTGTGAGAGAGAGGGGGGGGGGGGGGAGAGAAAAGGAGGATAGTTTGTGCTCCATTAAAATTTTATCGCGCATAAGAGAAATTTGCAGCCCCCAACTGAATATTTCTGTAGATAGACATCATAACCGACGAGATATTTCTCGAGAAAGTGGACGTGATGGTTACTGCATGAATCATTGGCACAAAGTGACACAGGACACACAAGAACTTTTGTGATGTCTCGGATGTTTTTGTTAAGAAGGAGCATATTTTATTCTTTGAGAGAAAATTAATCATTCTGTATCAGAACATAATCGAAGATATTAAATAATTGATTTTAACTCTTCTGTTAATGTATAATTTTTCACTTTTTTACTATCATATTTTACAAAATTTCTGCAAAAAAAAAACGGAATAAGGGCTGTGCAAAATTGTTCTTTATTATTCAAAAGATAGAGTTTTTGATGCGAAAATAACGAAATTCACACAAAAATTTAAAAAATTTAAAAATTTTCAAAATTTGATATGAGTATCCCATGCATTAAAGGATTATAAAAGATTCATTTTAGATGTTTAATTTTCATGTTAGAATGTATAATATATTCAGAATAGAATCTTATAAATTTATATTGTGTGTAATAACACAAATATTTAAATATTTAAAAAGTAAAAATGTACGCACACGTTACATATTTATTGAAATGAATGTATGCATAAAAATATATGGAATATAAATTATATATAAAATTTTTTCTTATATAAAAAAGTGATCAAAATTATAAAACATTTTAAATTTTCGTTGTTTTAATTACAGCTTAATAAAATGATTATAATGTTTCATGATATAAAATCACTCTTATATGAAAATTTATTATGACTTTCAAGAGTCAGCCATGTGTAAACTTTATTGAGTAATAATTAATATGTATAAACTCTCTCTCTTTATTAAATAATGTTAAGTTATAGCCATGGCTTATAAAGTTTGTCATAAATTATTGATCAATGCTTCAGGTTGTGCCAAGTACACATCCTTCAATTTTAGAGCCCTATAGAGGAAAGAAATAGAAAAGTACTGCAGCATCTGTTGCAGATATTCACGCATAGACTTGTGTTTCAGTTTTGGAAACATGCCACTGAAATGACTTATAGTAGCTTCGCTTCATTGGCTATGTTTAGCTGAAAAAGCAGCTTTAACAATTGTTGTAAGATTTTTTAATATAATTGATGTATACATTTATATCCAGTGAGAAAAAAATCTACCAAAAGGCCTATCATATTTTACAATAATTGCAAAATTACTTTTTCACTGAACGTACAACCATTAATTTGCAGAATAATGTGTAAATGTACGCTGAAACTTCCCGGAAATTCCGATGTACACCACTTTCATATAGTAATGTAATCCAATCTTCTAAGATTGCCGCGCAACATTTCGATTATGACGATGTGGATCCTATTGTCGACGACGAGAATAGGAGATGAAAGGGATGACTGTTTGTTGCCCATTCCGGGAATACCTTTCGGGAAGACGTAGCAGCAGTGGGATACTGTTAACTCGGTGCACAATATCAGGAATAGAGCGTACGTTAATGTTGTACGCGATTGTTGTCGTCGTCGGCTGTTGCCGCCGGTTCTTCCGGAAATCGAATCCACCATCCGATGGCGCATCGTCATCGCCATCTCTTCCGCCGTTGTCACCGCCGTCCGCGACGCGTAATTAATCATTCCGATCCTTCCGAATATCGCCTTTTGTTCCCTTTCCACGTCTCGGATAAAAAAAAAGAGAGAAGAAAAAAATCGCGAAACCGCCGCCGCCGCCGTCGCCGATCGCGAAATCTGTGCGTTCGAGGGTGGTTACCGGGATTATTTAGCGGTCTCGCGAACGAGCATGCACGCAACAAAGCGAATGCGAAAATAAAAGCGGTGAGTTTCTAACGCTATCTGCGAGCAGTGGTGTCAATTAGGAACGGTAATTGGAAATTCAAGCTGCCTAAGTGTTCGTGCGTCGAAAGATGCGAGCGTGGATGCACAGCAAAGGCACTACGCGCAATGCTAACGAGGAGTTAATGATTTCTACTATCTTCGTCCGTTACCGTTCGACTCATCATTGCTCTAGGGCTTTGTTTGTAAAAAGTATTATTTTTTGCATACAAAAATACTAAGGAAACCTATAATATACACATAACGTATATTATAGTATTTTCGTACATTTTCATATTATGTAATATTTTTCAAGAATACAATTTCTGCCCTTTTTATTAATAAATTGTACGTTCCGATGCGTTAAATTAAATCGATCTATCGTAGCGGAATTTCAATCAATTATTTTTAATCTTGTAGGTCATCACTACTTTTCAATATGTTTTCGTAAATCCTTTGAAGGAGCTTTCTAATAAAGTATAATAACTTATGGAAGATCTTATTTTCTAAGGGTTTTCGGAGTCGCTGAATTTGATTCTTAGAATTATAAAATTCAAATTTCAAAATATGAATGCTATGTTTATAAATGCTATCCATGCATATTATTACATTTAGCGCAAATTGTTTCACAATTAAACAGAATGTTCATTTATCTAAGAGATGTTTAAAATATTATCAATTTTTAATTATAAATCGTCAGAGAACAATAGAAGCTGAGATATAATATTGGAATATTAAAAATATTCCACGCAAATAATGTAGAGTTAAAGAAAGAGTTAGCGAAAGATAGTTGTGCGATTGTGCGACATTTTTCGTTATGCAGGATTGAAAGTTATTTTACAAGTTACTTTTTATTATAGAAATTGAATGCATTTTATTTTTTTATATTATATTTTATTATTTGCCTTAATTTTGTATAACTTTTTATACTCAATTTTTATATTGTATAAACATATTTTTAAACAAACATATAAAATAATCTAAAAAGTAACTTGTAAAGTAACTTTCCCAGTAACTTTTGCAATAATTTATACGGAGTGCGCTTACTGCTCATTGTCGATTAATTTTATAACGATAATGGTTTCACAATAATAGGTTTTTTTTTCAATACACTATTTGCTGTGTAAAGTGAGCAATTGAGTCTCATCATCTATTTAATTCTTCTCAGTTTCATTCCTGTCCATTAAGAGAGAACTCATTCGCGTTTTGTCTCTCTTTTCTCTCTTCTCCTCT